CAGGGATGCCCCTAGAGTGGAAGCTGTCCATGTCTTGCCTTCCAACACTTTGTACCTCTCTCATTCTCTGTTCCAAGGTTGTTCTGGGCCTCTGCCTTTCCTCACATGGCACCTCTCTGCGTGAAAGGCCCTTTCTCCTTCTACCCTACCTTGCTGAACTCACCCTCCTTCACCATCGTACTTCTCTATGTGTCGGTTTCTTTATGTATAAAATGAGCACAATAAAGAGTGCCTAATTCATAGCCTTGTTATGAGCACTAACATGGGCACAGCACCTGACTCCAAGGTGTGCACTCAGTGACAGCTAACTCCAGCATCAACGTTGTTCTCATTCCACAAGAAGACAATCAGTGGCCAAGCTTCCCACTGCCCAAAGGTCAGGGCTGCCACTTAATGTTGGTTAGATGAAAAGTTACACCGAGTTCCCCATCTACATGGCTGACCACCCAAATCTCAATTACGGACCCCTCTTCCTCCATCTGATTGGTAAATTTAGGTGTTCCCTGGGGTTCTTGCTCAAACCTCTCTTCTTCTTCCTGTCTACTTTCTCTCCAGACCATGTATAGATATCCACAGCCTCAAGTGTGCCCTCTTGTCTCTGATACATGTGTGAGGTCTGTATCTCCAGGTCCAAATTTCCAAATGTGGTCTGGATACATTACCAGTGCCTAAATACCACTAAAATACTAATAATGATAGCCAGCAATGATTGAACACTGACCAGGCACCCGGGACTGAGCCCAGTGCTTTGCATGGATTACTTCATTCAATCCTCTCAAAAACTCCATTTTACAGAGAAAAGAAAGAAGAAAGGAAAGAAAGAAAGAAAGAAAGGAAAGAAAGAAAGAAAGAAGAAAGAAAGAAAGAAAGAAAGAAAGAAAGAAAGAAAGAAAGAAAGCAAAACTCCATTTTACAGAGAAAAGAAAGGAAGAAAGAAAGAAAGAAAGAAAGAAAGAAAAGAAAGAAAAAGAAAGCAGTTGTTGTTGTTGTTGTTGTTGTTGTTGTTGTTGTTACGTTGAAGAAAGAAAGAAAGAAAGAAAGAAAGAAAGAAAGAAAGAAAGAAAGAGAAGGCAAGAACGTCACTCAAAGTTATGAACCAGAGAAGTGGTGGAGCCAGGATTTCAAACTGGACACAAGTACTTCTGCTAAAAAAGGTTATCAAACGGCTCACCTTTTAATCAACAATATTCAAGTGATGTAAGGAAAAGCCGAGAGAACAGAGGTCTCAACTGGGGGCAATTTTGCTTTCCAGGGAACATTTTGCAATACCTGGAGATGTGTTTGGTTTTCCCAACTGGAGGGTTGCTGCTGGCATCCAGTGGGAAGAAGCCGAACCTCCCCAAGGAGAGGCTGCTGCTGAAGATCTTACAAAGTGCCAGAAGCCGGCTACAACAAGGAATCATCCGGTCCAACACGTTAATATTGCCAAGAACGAGAAACCGTGCACTAGAAAAATCCAGATGACGCAAGACTGTGAGAAACTAGTGAAGGGTGCTATCTTTTCAGATGCTAACTCCCCCACTCACCAACTGAGCAGGTCCCTCTGCCTCCCTCCTGCCCACCCCCACCCCAGCCCAGCCCCCACCCCAACCTAGCAAAGCCTCGCATTCTTACCCACCACCTATTTCACTTCTCTGCAGAAAGCACAAACAGGAACTCATTATCTTCCTCCTCAAAACCTTCCCATCCCTCACTCTTTGTCATGGTTAAAAATACCACCCTCCTCCTCCTTACAGGTGAGCACCATTGTCCCCTCCTTGCGTGTGCCCCACCACCAGCCAACAAGCTGTGTTCGTTGAATCTCCCAGGTCTCTCCTGCTCATCCTTGCCTTCCTACTTCCCTAACTTACTTGGGCCAAAATAGCTTCTCATGCTATCTCTTTTCCAGTCATTAGGCTGAAGTCACTTTTTATTCATCTATGTTTGATCATCCAGAGCATTTTTTTTTTCTTTTGAGATAGGGTCTCGTTCTGTTGCTAAGGCTGGAGTGCACTGATGCAATCATGGCTCACCGTAGGCTTTGACCTCCAGGCTTAAGCGATCCTCCCACCTCAGCTTCCCAAGTAGCTGTAACTAGAAGCACATACCACCATGTCTGGCTAATTTTAAAATTCTTTGTAGAGACGGGGTTTTGCCATTTTGCCCAGGCTGGTTTCAAACTCTAGGGCTCAAATGATCCCCCTGCTTTGGGTCTCCCAAAGTGTTGGGATTACAGGCATGAGCCACCTCACCTAGCCCGGAGCATAGTTTTCATAAAGAATTAAACTCAGGGGTCTAAACTCAAGAGCCTACCTAGCTCCTAGTCTGTGACTCCAGGATGTTCAGGGTGGAAATTTAGAGTTCTGCACCTTGCCCTTCAGCCCTCTCCTTTAGCAAACAAGGTGACCTCTTCCAGTCCAGGGCTTGTGCCCCCAACCCACTCTAGTTCCCATCTCCTCTCATCCTCAGTACCTGTTCTATCAATGAACCATCCCTTCCTCTCAATCTCTCCTACCAACCCAGATGCTTGCCTGCCCACACATCTTTAAAGAAGCCTCCACCCTTACCTCCCACTTGCTAGACGGCTACATTTCTGAAAAGAGTTGTCCACACTTGCTGTCTCCCACTCACTCCTCAACCCACCGCAATCTGGCTTCCAATCCCTCCACTCCATCAAGACAGCTCTGGTAAAAGTTATCAGCCCTCTCATTGTCAAATGAAATGAACACTTGCTTTCCAGTCCTTTCTTGATGAAATTTCCTGTAACATTTGTGAGTGTTGCTCATTCCCTCCTTCTAAAAGCAATTTCTTCCCATGCCCCCTGGTTCTCCTTTTGGTTCTCTTCTTCTCATTATTCATACTCCCGACAGCTTGAACTGCCAAGAAAGGCAGTGCAGGGTGGTGAAGAGCCTGGACTCCAATGCTCCTTGATGTGGTTTGGCTGTGTCCCCACCCGAACATCATCTTGAATTCCCACATGTTGTGGGAAGGACCCACTGGGAGGTAACTGAATCATGGGGGCAAGTCTTTCCTGTGCTGTTCTATAACTCTATAATGAATAAATCTCATGAGATCTGATGGTTTCAAAAAGAGTTCCCCCACACAAACTCTCTCTCTCTTTGCCTGCTGCCATCCATGTAAGACCTGACTTGCTCCCTCTTATCTTCCGCCATGATTGTGAGGCTTCCCCAGCTGTGTGGAACTGTAAGTCCAATTAAAAGTCTTTCTTTTGTAAATTTCCCAGTGTCAGGTATGTCTTTATCAGCAGCCTGGAAATGGACTAATACACTCCTCTACTCACTAGTGTTTGACCTTGGGCAAGTTACTCAACACTCCCGTGCCTCAGTTTCCTCAACTGTAAGATGGTGTAAGGCTTTTTAGTCTCATTGTTTTCCATGTCTGAACATGCATCATGTTCTCAGATCATGTTGAACCTCGTGGAGTTACCCACATATATCATGTGTTCACACTCAGTCTTTGCTCAGGCACCTGGGGGTGCCCAGCCAGTATCTGTGAATATATGCACGAACGCTGCTCTGGATTGGGTTTCCCCAGAAGTATACCTCGAGACAAGGAGATAGGTGCAGTTACTTTATTTGGGATCCCAAGAACAAATAAGGAAGTGAGAAAGTAAGGCAAGGAAGGGACAAGAGGCAAATCAAAGAATGACTTAATGAGGGAGAGACTTCTGGGGGCTACTGGATTCATTCCTACTGGGGGTTCCTCTGAGGAGCTGCCTTGAAAGCATTTGAGAATTGTTCTTCCTTAGGGAAGGGGAGGCTGACACATTCATCCACTGTTTGGTTAAGGACTGCCCCAGGGCTGTTGAAAACTTTCAGGCTAGGCAAGATCCCACAGCCCTAGAGAAAGCCTCCTGGCAGAGAGGAGGGGTGCCTGCTTTGGATAGACAGTTCCTCTGTACAGAGGGCAGCTCATTGCAGCTGCCGGTGAGCTCAGAGGTGGGCCCAGGGGACATGCAGCCGAGCATCACTAACACTTGCGCTTGTTACTCTGCTTGGCAGGTCTGTGCCCCCTTATCTAGCTACATAGGTCCTGTCTCTTCCTAGAAAGTTAGTTCAAGAGTACCCACTTCTTGGAAGCATTTTCCAACTTATCTCCACCCTACTCCACCTTCAATGCTCTGAATATCCCTGGACACCCTGGACATGACTTTGTAAGAGTACTTATCTCTCTGCTTACTAGATAGAGCTTTCTTGTCTTTCTTAGCAGGAGTAGTTCTTTTTCATCATTGCAGATGTAGGGCCCAGATTTTTTTTTAGCACATTATAGGCACTTAACCGATGCCTTAAAATGAATTCAAGTTCACCTTGCTCAGAGACCCACTCAGAGCAAGTGGTCAACAAGTGTGGACTCCCTTTCCCCCATCTGATTTAGGAGAGCAGTCATCTAGTGAGTATACAACGTGATAAATATATTCTTTAAACAGAAATGCCAAGGAAGCACAAAGAAGGGAGTAATTAACTGGGACTGTACCAATGAGACTATAGTTATCTCATCTGACAGTCTTAATTACTTACAGTTTTTTGTTTGGTTTTTTTTTTTTTTTTGAGACGGAGTCTCACTCTGTCATCCTGCCTGGAATACAATGGCGTGATCTCGGCTCACTGCAACCTCCACCTCCAGGGTTCAAGCGATTCTCCTGCCTCAGCCTCCCGAGAAACTGGGATTACAGGCGCCCACCACCACACCCGGCAAATTGTCTGTATTTTTAGTAGAGAGGCGGTTTCACCATATTGGCCAGACTGGTCTCAAACTCCTGACCTTACATGATCCACCCGCCTCGGCCTCCCAAAGTGCTGCAATTACAGTAGTGAGCCACCACGCCTGGCCTACTTATAGTTTTAACTTTCCAGAAGCACTAATAGAGCCATCTGGTGCTGCTTCCACTGCACTGGGCATTCCCTTTTGAATCTCTCCACCAAAGAGGAAGCTACAAGGAGCTGCAGGATGGAGTGAACCACCCTACCTCAGGCGGGGGTCCCATCTACAACTCTAGTTTGTTTGCTTCTTTCATTTATTCAACATGTATTTATTGATGGTCTCAAATGGGCCAGCACTGTTCTAAGGAAACAGGCCAAGGTACTGCTGTAATGCAGTTTACCCATGCAGTGGGGAGAGTGGGGGGCAGATAAAAAATAAGCAACCAATCACGTAGGCTACATTAAACAGTGACAAGGGCTATGAAGCAATCAAACAGGATGCGCTATATTTGGGAGAGGTGGAGGTGGGGTGTAGGTGCCAGAGACAAGTAGATCACATGGTTGGGGAAAGCCTCTCTGTGGAGCTGACTTCTGGGCTGTGAGCTGTGTGCCAAGAACAGTCATACAAGGGTTCTACCAGGCAGAGCGGACGGCAGCTGCAAAGGGCCTGGAGCAGGACCTTGGGACTCCTGGTGTCCACCTCAGAGCTTGTCCTACTGCTTCTGGCCACGGAGAGAGAATTGCAGAAAAGGAACAATGCTGGGTCTAAAACTGGTATCTGTTCCTTACTTGGAGTAAACGAGCTGGTACCCAACTTTCAGTTCCCAGCAGGTTCATTTCAGGCTTCTGTTTTTGCTCACGAGCATGTTCCCTCTTCAAAGTCTGATTGGGTTTCAAAGGAATCTGAAACACAGCAAAACCACCAAGCTGCATCCTCCAGGTAGACACCCCCGAAATGTGGCATTTCCGTGGGAAACCACAATGAATCACTCTTTGGCTGTCCGGCCTCTCTGCCCAGTCAGAGATTGATTTTGGTTTTCCCAAACTTTGTAAAGCCACCCCAGACTGTTTAACAACCTCCCCACCATACCTGGACTCTCAGATTAAGAGCAAAATCCCAAATTTCGTGAGGTTTTCCGTTTCAGATTTCAACAGAAGGGGGTCTGCCACAGCCACGAACCATTTCCTCTGCAGAGAGCAGTTTCTGAAATGCTGCGAAGAAAAACAATCGCCCAACGATTAGGAGGGAAATGAAGTTCTAAAGAAAGACTACTGTCTCTGACTTTCAAAGTAGACATAGATATGCACAATATACATCCCACAAATTAAAATCCTCCTTTCTCTGATGTCTTCTAATGGCAATAATAAGGACAAGCATGGCTATCATTTATTTGGGTGTTTCCAATGTGCCAGTCCCTGTCTAAACATCGGTTTCCAGATCAAACCTATGAGGGTGGAATTAATGTCCATTTCATATTTAAGCAAACTGAGGCTCAGGAAAGTTGGGTTACTCAAGGTAACATGAGTAGAAAAAAAGGGTTACTCAAGGTAACATGAGTAGAAAAAAAGGCCATATTCCAACGGGACACAGAGCCTGCAGCCCACACGATTACTCTCCATACTGTTCCTATAGTATCCTGACTGGGAAGGTCCTGTTCCCCTGGCACTGGGCAAAAGGAGGAAATTATAAGAGCAGAGAGGAAGCGGTGAAAGGGGGCAGCCTGGTGAAGTCACTCCTTTACCGAAAATAGGGGTAACGGCCAGGACAGTGCAGGTCCATCCTCTGCAGATGGAAGACACGCACGTCCTTTGCCGCTGTCCCGGCCTTAGAAAGGCACCTTCCGCGTCCAGGGTTTTCTGTGGATAAATCCCACCCCTTCCACCTCTGGCAGGGAGGAGGCCGGCAGGCCAGGGCATGGGGCGGAAAGCGAAGGACGCCCGACCCGGGCCGAGGTCTGGGGCCCCGCCCGCGCCCCCCGCGTGGCTGCCGGCGGGCCAAGGGTTAAGCGAGGCGGGAGCCCCCGGCGCGGAGCCGCTCGGGGCTGGGAATGCTTAGTCAGGATTCCGATTTCCTGTCGAAGTGTTTGGATTTCCTGAAACCCGCGCCCTCCGCCGCCGAGCGGGATTGTGCGAGCCGCTCGCGTCGCCGCCGCCTCCTCCCCCTCGGCACATGGTCGCCCGCCCCTTCCTGCGCCGCGCTCGGCTCCCGCGCCTCGCCTGGCCTGGCCGCCGCCGCGGGCGAGCACTCTGCGCTGGGCAGCCCCGGGCCCGCGCCTCCCGCCCCGCCGGCGCTTCCCGGTCGCAGTTCGCTTTCCCACCCGAGAGCCGCGAGCGCCCGGCCGAGCCCGCGATGGAATAATGCCCAGCGGCCCGCCAGGTCCCGGTGAGTTGCGGGGCGCTCGGACGGGCTCGATGGGGCCGGGCGGAGTAGCCCACAGTCGCGGGCGCCCCCTGCCCAGTACCTCGCGCGAAGAGGGGTGCAGGGACGGGGCGCCGGGCGGGCTCTCGGCTCCTCTCGCAGCGGGGTGTCCTTCTCCGCGGCGAGGGCGCCGGCCCTGGGCTGGGGCGTGTGCGGGACGCGCGGCCGGGCTCTGCGGGGCCGGACGAGGCCGCCCGGTGGGGGGTGTCTCCGCGCCTCCAGCTCTGGAGAGGGGGCCCCTGCAGTGGGGCCGGGGATGGGGCCCGCCTTGGGGGGGCTTCGCGTCCGGCTCTCGGGGAGGGCCCGGGACGACGCGCTTGGCGGCCCGAACCCCGCGAATGGGGCGCCCTCCCGGCATTGTCTCTGGCGCGGCAGAGGAAAGTTCCCCGCGGTCGCCGGCCCCTGCCGGAACCCGGCGCTGCTTGGCAGGCCCCAGGCCACTTGCCTAAGGCAAAAGAAGAGAAACGAAGCGAAAGGAAAGGTGGGGGGAGTCCTACTTGGAGCTCGGTGTTTGCTCCCGGGTGGACCTGAAGTGGCTTGTGTTTTCCGCTTGTACCATTTTGGGACCTGCTGCATTTTCTGAGAGCGACATGAAGTTTCAAAGAAAAAAGAAACTTGCCCGCGTCCGGGTTTCTGCGGTTTGATACATCCCAAGAGTTCATCTTGGGCACTTGTAAAGCAGTTTCCTTTAGTAATGTGGTTTTCCAGTAGCTCAGGGAGACAGATGGTCAACTGCAGACCATCATCCTTAACTTGACCTTAACTTTACCTGTACTCATCAGGCAAGAAAAAGAACTTTCTCTCGCATGTTCCCCTGTCTACTCTGTTAGATTATCTTGGCGTGATTGATTCTGGGATGACATCAGGCCCTGGATTGCTGAGTAATGTTTTGGGATTGTAAAAGCTGTTCGGTTTTTAGTCCAGGGTTATCCCTATTGCAACCTTCACCCCAAAGCCTTTCTGTTTTGCAATTGTAGCGCCACCAGACAGCTTTAAGAAAATGCGGGTCTTCTGGAAACAACCAGTCAGAGGTTTCGAAAGAAAAAGATCTTGGAGAACAACTGATTTCAGCCCCTTTCCTGAGAAGGCCCAGAAAGGTGACCTGACTTACCCAAGGTCACGTGGCCAGGAGTAGTTTCCACTTCTTCAGGCTCAGTCCCATGCCCCTTCTGTGTTAGATTTTGATCTGTTAGCCATGAAACAGATTTGGAAACATGTCTTCTTAGCGTCATAACCTTCACCACTTTAGTGCCTTCTCTTCTATCCTGGTAATGCTGCTATTTTTTTGAGATATGCACTTGCCTCAAACTGCATATTTTGAGATAGGGAGCTAAAAAAAAAAATCACCTAACCCCTACTGTTGAGCCACTAAATGGATTTGGAGATTCAGCTACCAAATGGATTTGAAGTATAAAATGAGTGGCTTATTATATGGGGAATTACTTTCCCTATCCCATTCTTTTGTGAAAAATAGAAACTCCCAGGTCCAAAAAAGGGCAGTATCTTAGCACATAATGTACCCTATGATGTTCTCTAGACTTGATTTTCAGCCCTCCTGTTCCTTGTGAGCTAAGCAGCCCATCTATTTTTCTCATGAGAGCTCTGAATGGCTGGTTTTTCATTTTTAGTATGTGATAATGTTGGAGAGAAAGGACTTTTTGCAAGCTTGCCATTTGGTGAGGGAAATTGAAATTCTCTACACCTCCCCAGTCCTCACCAGCCACAGCGAGCCAGATTTTCAAAATCAGTGCAAGCCTGGCAGGCCCAAAGATGAATGTGTGCATTCAGATTGAGCCCTCCGTTGTGAGGACTCACGTCCCAGCTGGCATCTCCACGCTGCACCTAGGTGGCTGAAGTCTAGAGGAAAGAAGGGAACCCCAGTTAGCCAGGACAGTGTTGTTCCTGCCCTTTCCCCACCTAGGTCTCAGTCGTATTTGGATCCTGCTGCTCCGTTCTCATTTTCTCCTCCCATTTCTTCATCCAGCCACTGCTGCATCTGGCATGGACTCCGGAAGGTCTTTTCTAGGAGGCTGCATGAGTGATCCCCATATGAGCAATAGTAGCAGTCACCCTATTTATTAAGCACTTGCTGTATGCCCTAGACGTGTACCTCCTAAGAAGCCTAAGGAGAAGCGGAAACTTCCTGGGGAGCCTTGCCCAGAAAAGACGGCACATCTCAGATTTATCTGGAATTGAATTTTTATTTCATGCATCCAGTGAAACATTTGCTAAGTGGCTTCCCTGTGGGAGATGCCATTCGTGCAAAGATGAATAGGACCCTGTTCTCAAGGCCTTCTGTTTCTAGCCTTATCTTTCAATGTCAGCCTCACACTTTCTCTTTTAATTCATCAATTGAACAACCACGTATTGAGTACCTGTGCCATGCTAAGCCCTGTGTAGAGTCCTGATCATATAGTGGTGGACGAAAAAGACCTGTCACTGCCCTTCTGGAGCTTGCATTCCGCTGGAGGAGATGGGCAACAAGCAAGAAGTAGAATAAACAACCTCTAGCAAATGAATGATTCCTTGTTATCAAGGAAACAAACCTGGAACCAAAGTAGGGGCTGGTGGCACAAAGTTGGTCCGAGTTGTGCAAGGGAAAGCCTTTCTGAGATTGGAAAATGGAGAAGGAACTGGCCAGGCAGAGAGATTGTGGGGGAGGGCATTCCAGGCAGAGGGATGGGAATGTGCAAAGTTGACTATGCACAAAAGAGCTTGGTGTATTCCAAGGAGTGAGGGAAGGCAGGGCTGGAGTGTAAGGGGGAGATGGGGGGAATGGGCACAAGGTGAAGTTTGAGAGGGAGGCAGGGGCGAGATCACACATCCGATTGATTCTAAGCCATGCTGGGGAGAGTCCCTCCACCCAGTACAAAGAGAAGCTTTGGTGAGTTTAAGCTCAGCAGTGAGATCTGATTGCCTTTTTTTTTTTTTGGGAGACAGAGTCTAGCTGTGTTGCCCAGTCTGGAGTGCAGTGGCACGATCTCAGCTCACTGCAACCTCTGCTTTACTGGGTTCAAGTGATTCTCCTGCCTCAGCCTCCTGAGTAGCTAGGATGATAGGCATGCACCACCACATCTGGCTAATGTTTGTATTTTTAGTAGAGATGGAGTTTCGCCATGTGGATCAGGATGGTTTTGAACTCCTGACCTCAGGTAAGTGACCACGGCCGGCCTAATTGACATTTTTGAGATAGCTTTGACTGCTTTTGTGAAGAGTGGATGGATCATAGGGAGCTAGGTGTAGAAGCAGGAAGACCACTTAGGAGGAAAGAGGATGGTGGCTTAGAACTGGACAGCAGCAATGGAGGTAGAAAGAAGTGGGCAGAGGCTACTTAGATCTTGGAGATAGCATTGATGAGATCTGGTGATAGATTACATTGGAATGAGGCAAGGGGAAGGACTCAAGGGTGACTCCTGGAGTTCTGGCTTGAACAGCTGGGTGTATGGTGGTGGTATGGGAGACAGAAAGTCTAGGAGGAGTATGCTCATGGAGAAAATCAAGTTCTATATCAGCCATCCTAAATTTGAGATGTCTAGGAGGCATCCTGTGGAGATTTCAGGCAGGCAGGAGGCCTGGATCTCTGAGGAGACTTACAGGCTAGAAACATTATTACCAGCCTGCTGTGGAGCTGCCAGAGTGCTTGAGTGTCTGCTGACGTTCTTCCCCCTGCTGGGGATGCTCTTCCTTTCTCCTAGACTAATTGCTACTCATCTTTAAAAAGCACCTGTGTCTTTATCTCCTCAAAGATGCATTTAACTCCCTTCCCTACTCTTAGACCCCTGTCTTTACCTTCATCGTGTGTTCAATTGAAATTACCTGTTTTTTTTTTAGTATCTTAATGTGAATGAAATGCTTGGTGCTGGCCTTACCAAATAGTAAGTGCTCACAGTAAGGGTACATTCAACAAATGTTAACTATTATTATTATTATTGATGGGGGTGATAGACATATAAATAAAAATTGCATTATATTAGGGTAAGCATAATGATAGTGTATTAGTTTCTTATTGCTGCTGTAACAAATTACCCCAAACTTTCGTGGTTTACATCATACAAATTTACTGTCTTACAGTTCTGGAGGTCAGAAGTGTAGAATGGATCTCACTGACTGAAATCAAGGTGTTAGCAAAGTATGTTACTGCTGGCAGCACTGGGAAGAATTTGTTTCCTTGTCTTTTCCAGTATCAGGAGGCCACTTGCATATCTTGGCTTATAGTTTCCTTCTTCCACCTCCAAAGCCAGCAACGTTGGTCTTCATCCTTCTCAAGCTTCCATCTCTCTGGTTCTCCCTTCTGGATTCTTCTTCTACCTTGAAGGGCCCTTAAAGTGATCCCACTGGGCTACTTGTATAATCTAGGCTATTCTCCCTATTTTAAGGTCAACAGCTTGGCAACCTTGATTCCATCTGCAACCTTCATTTTCCATTGCAGGGTAACTCATGTAACCTAATGTATTCACAGGTCTTGGGAGTGAGGATGTGGATATCTTTGCAGCCTGGGAAAGGAGGGTGTTATGGGAGCTCTGGGGAGAGGTTCCTAACCCATGGGGAAGAGAAGGTCAGAGACGTCTTACCGTGGCTGCAGTGATGCACAGGCGGGAGTCAGCCTCCACTGTGTCCTCACAGTCACTCCTCCGTCAGAGCTCTTCTCTGTGGCAGACCTCTGTGAAGAGTTGGAGTTGAGGATTCATTTCACTGTGCATTCTCCAGCTGTCGGCCCGATTGTTCACTTTCAACCCAGGGACACTAACTTCTCACCCGGCCTCTTGAAAAAATTAAATTCTTTAACCAGTGCAAACCCTCTACCAGCTCCCCCTCCGCACCCCAAGTCCTCTCCCAGGAAGGGATGGGCAGGGTGTGGGCTGGGTCCTCTGACTTCAGAATTGACTGCCAGTACATGCCCAGCACAGCACGCATCCCTGCAATTGTTCCTTTTGTACGGCTAAAACCTTGGTTGCAAAGCTGCAACCAGGTCCCTAACCTCAGCCAGCCCTGTTCCCAGAGCAGGCCATTGGCCCCAAGGGAGGTCAGGAGGGAGTGTGTGGTTCGATTAGGACAGATCCGTCTGAGTCCTTAGGGGAAGAAGCAACTGGAGGGCCTGGCCCACTGGTGGCCCCATCTTCTGAGAGTAAAGGAAACACACCATGATGTGCTGTGTAGCCACGTCGCTGCGAGGGGGTAATTAAGACCAGATTTCTGAAGTCCTCTCAGTTATTTAGAGAAAATGGGCTCCTGTCCCAGATCCTCCCCAGAAACAGACGGTTTCTTGAGACCTTAAGCACTTTGGAGAGGCATATGAGCTCTCTTGGCCACCGGCGTGCTGAGTTACAAAGCGACCAAGGGCGTCTGCTGCCTGGGGTCACCCTGCCAGCCCCTTCAGCTCCCATCCCTTGGAAACGCCAGAAACTAAGCTTGTCTTGTAATATTTTTGATGTTTCCTCTTCCTTCACTGGCCTAAGTCAGGAAGTGCGAAGGTGC